CAAACAAACAAACAATCTTACAAGTGGACTAAACGGTCAGGTAATAGACTTCAAGGATTTAGGTATATTCTTCCCTAATATTTATCTTCTGAGCTGAGAGTTTATTTGTTTGAGAATTTCACGCAAAGCTATATAAGAGCTATCTGCCTTCCATAATTTGTTACTGATAAACTGGAGCAACGTTTCCCAAACTGTGTTACGCGGAACCCTAGGGTTCCGTACAATATATCCAGGGGTTCCGCGAGAACTTTTTGTGTAGTTTAGTTGGAATAATAGAGCAGACCAGGTATAAGTATGGCTGAAAAGTTCATCAGCTCATAAACTGTACCACTGTATATTCTCTTTGTCATTGGCTATTTCATTCATGGGCAAAGCCTAATTGATGATTCGTTGTAAGATGATTCGTTGTAATAGTCGAGTGCAGTGCTTCAAGAAAACAACAAGCTAGTCTTAAGTTTGTGAATATTTCCTAACATTATAAAATCACAGCGATTTCACGTATTGATGCTACTTAGCCATGGATCTATGGCTAAAAGAAGGAACTTTAAAGCGAAAAACAAGTTCTTCTGTTAATAATTTTTATGATTTAACTTTTTAACATAAGGATATTTTCAAGGGTTCCGTCAATAGTTTTAGAGCTCAAAAGTGTTCTGTGGCCAGAAAAGTTTGAGAAATGCTGAACTAGACGAAATATAGCTAGTCAACAACACCCATCATCAATTATTGGGCTACTCTTGCCTGATCGAATACTGGGATTTGACCTTCATTTATACAGTGTAACCACAGCCAAAAAGTGTTATGAGTCGTCGTCTCTACAGTGCGGGCACGCTAACCATTAGTTCAAGCCATACTCCGTGGTCAGAGGGAAAGTAGTCAGTCAGCAACACCAATCGCCACAATAGCTTTGACCTTCTCTTTGAACTGGATAAGGGATTGACATTTTTATAATGCGCTAAAAGCTAGGAGTGCAAAGCGATTTCAATAGCATAATAGTTCAAATCTTGGACCCTACGACCCAAAGTGTGTCATGTCAGTCAGCGGGTCACACCAGGTCATTATTGATTATTAGAAGAGCATGTAATATATTGTCGAAAAATATTGTTGTTATTTAGGTATTAAGTATTTTAACATTACACTGATGGAATGTAAAAAAATCCATGGCGACTTATAATACAATAGATCGCAAAGGAGAAAGGCCAAGCAAATAATTATTTCATGGTGTTAGCCTATCTGAAAATATTCCTTTGTAGTTTAGCAGCTTTTGGCTCTTTCCACTAAGAATTACATCTTTTTTGTCTTTCTATTAGCATGTCACGAAACTCTTATGTTCTTATTATTGTTAGAAATCCTGAAATGAAGAATATTTATGTAAAACTAATTCAAAGAAATTTAGCTCTTTTATGAAAATTATGTTCTTCGTGTTCTTCCGCCATGTTTTAACTGACTGGAGAGAAGCTGACTGTTACTGTGTGCTGCCATCTCGTAACGAAATGCAGAACTGTAAATGTCCTCTTGAGTTCAGTGGAAGCCATGCAACCTCGAGCAATTTACATCTAATACATACACGATGCATTATATATTTTATGTAGCGTTTGTTTTACGCAATTTTATATTTTAAAACGTGTCCCAACTATGAGTATAAAAGCGCCTTCTAAGCTGCTGTCTTCCCCAAACTTATGATCCGCCAGAGTAACATTATACTCAACTTCCTTTATATATCACTCATTCGATTACACCACCATTCCCAATTGGCCCCTGAAGCAGAGAGCTCCATCTTTCGAAAGCGCTCGGGTTACAGGGCTTATCATATTATATAAATAATCCAATCTTATTGTTCTGTTTCAAAATGACAGAAGTATATCTATATATTGTTCACTACAGTATCGCTTCAACTAAGAACAAATAGTGATTGTATTATTGGTGCTAAACAATATCCTTGTCTATATTTTGTTTGTTTGCAGTTAAGCACAAAGCTATACAATGGGCTATCTGTGCTCTGCCATTCTATATTCTATACATCTCTTCGTACAAAATAATTTAAAACAAATCTATCATTTTAATATCATTTAAAAAGACATAAAATGAAAACTTAATATGAAAAATTATCTGAAATATTTCTTTATTAAATTTTGATGCATCATAATTATGTGTAAGTGTAACTTTGTTTGTGTAAAATATTTATTAAGGCCCGAATGTATTGAAAGTTACTGTTGTTAATATCTAATGTTTTTAAAACCCATTTTAGTTTCAAAAGGTGTTTATCACGTTTGTTTTTAATGATCTTTCACAAGGTTTTTAATGTAGGGAGTGCATTTTGTGTCACATTATTTTATACTTGCATGGTGTAATTTGTATTTCTCCTCGCCTGGTTTTGCTATGACTAAATCATAGTACTTTTGAGGTTTTCCAAAATCCTAGGTTTAATGCTAAGAATTTCAAAAGCGTGTATTTGATAGTACACTTTTATGTAAGTTTGTCTGAGCTACATTTTGTTTGTTATGAAGTAGTTTACTGACATTCTTTTTTTGGTTTTATCTGGATATATATATATATATATGTGTGTGTGTGTGTGTGTGTATGAAGTTTCATTTACTTTGTATTAAAACGCATTTATATACTGATTAAGTTTTATTATCATAACCACTATTTCTTTTATTCATTAAGAGATTGGTAACATTTTTTGCTGTCTGGTTTTTCAGTTGACTAAAATATTTGTTAAATTAGCCCCTTCTGGCTGGTATTTCATTATACTTAGCTGCTTGAGCTGATAAAATCTGAATTTTTGTCACTCGATACTAGATAGTTTATACAGAAATTGTTTCTAATTGTGAATTAATACGTTGCTCATTGTGGTAAGAAATTCTGTAAATGGTACCTAAGTTGAAAACTGACCACATGTCAGCTTCATCAGACGCAAGATTGTTTGATGTCCCATCTGCTTTTGTGCTTAAATAGTGACGTAGAGAAAAAAGACATACATATGCATATATTTCTAAGGAGTATATGCAAGTGTGTGTGTTTGTAAATCAACAAAGAAAATAGTTCCCCTCCCACAGTCTTCTGAATGTATAGATCAAGAAAAGTTAATCAAAAACAGATAACATAAATCTGTAAATCAGACAGCCTTCACTGTTTTATGAATATTGATATAAAAAGTTTGCAAATGTGAGATATTTAAAAATCTGGACAATTACAGAATTAATATCTGGCAAATTTTCAGCCTTATGATATTTACTTATGTTTTAAATTCTGTTTTGTTTTTTCACACTGAAGGTGTAAATTAACATATTTAGATTCGGACCGAAATAAAATGTGGGGCGTTGACGAATTATTCTATTAGTGCATTTCATGTCAAAATCACCAAATACAGTAATCATAGCGTATTATATTATTACTATTTTAGCAATTGTTTTGTAGTTGATTTAGCGGTGTATTCGTATAACTTTGCAATACCAAAAGAATATTTACAAGACAACAAAAATTCGCACATCTATATAGTAAATGATGAATTTTATTTTAAACTGAAATTTGCCGATAATTCACTACCAGTTTTTATTTCAAGAAACAGAGGAAATCCATAATAAGTATCCCTGTGATCCTTACAGCAGACACAACATTAATAAGCCTACTGCGCTATTTTGTGTTTCAAAATAAACAAACAAAAAACTAATATTTCCGAGCAATCCTAAAATGTAGTTAATAAAAACATATATCAGAAAGCTGCCGTAATAGTTCTTTGTACACCATCATTTTTCTCTTTTGTTTTACATCTACAATTTTAAATCAATAACAGGATATATCCTAATATTTTACTAATGTCCGCCTCCAAAAAATAGTCAAGGCAGTATTTACACAGAAGTTTATGTCTTCTTTACCTTACTGAGTTGCTTATCGCGTTTTTATGTATTAAACAAAACATACGCAGAGAAAATAATATTACAGACTCAATTTCCCGAAAGTAAATCGTTGTGTTCATCATTAATTGCTAATTAATGTTTGATTTTTTAATATGTCAGGTTAATATAATCGCTTAGAAAATATTAAAATTACAACTTTAATGACGTGTAGAACTAAAATAGTTATCAATGCAGAGATATTAATGAGACAAATAAAATGCTTTTCACTATTAACGACACCTACTGAGTTCTTTAGTTAAACAAATAATTTCATTCACTAAATTATTAAGAGTCAACATCAAAGTCACATATATATATCTTAATATTGTAGTAGATGTGCCGTTATAATTGTATTCTAGGACTTAATATTTAAATACTCGTGGTAGGCAGAGCACAAATAGCCCATTTTATAGCCTTGTGCATAATTACAAACAAACACATTAATATTAAAAATAATATCATTAAGTACGGTAGTACTTAATAGTAGGGATCGTGAGGAAAGAAAATGGCGACCGTCATTTTTTTTTTTTTGTAGTTTAGCACACAGCTGCACAATGGCCTATCTGTGCTCTGACCACCGGGTATCGAAACCCTGTTTCTAGCTTGTAAGTCCGCAGACGTCCCGCTGTGCCACGGAGTCGGTGACCATAAAAAATCACCCGTTTAAAGCTACCTTTAAAATGTTTGAATACTAACAATGACTATTTCACAGTATTGGCTGAGCGAAACTAAAGCTTATTGTATTATACTTGTACACTTTAGAAGAATCACTTCTGAAAGCTAGTAAATAAATGTGGAGATTACATCTCATATTATGAGAAATTATTTCATGTTGTTACAAGAACGTCTTGGGGTAAAAAGAAATTAATATACAGAGTGCTTTTTTGTTATGATATACAATCCACTCAGCGCCACCAATAGGCCATTTTATGTTTAGATGATACTGAAGAAAGTTGTGGAATATTTTTATGTTAAGAGGATGCAATGAAGGAAAGTTTCGAAATCTTATAATTTGTATTCTAAAATACCTATTTATTTTTCAGTTTCTTGTTAACTGTTATATTTCAGGGTATAAGTAACCAAGTGTAGGTATAGCAGAGTACTTTTTGATTGGTAAAGAAATTGCTAGAGCTACGTAGATGTATTGTTTATTTATATTAACCACATTGATTATATATAATTAAAATGGATACGTTGTTACACTTTTCATCGGAACAACGTAAGGTTTACAAGATTTGATATATATATATTGGATAAAGTCTCATTGTAGAGTGGATGAATTGCGATTTGTTCATAGTCAAATGATATTGTCACGCTTCCACTAGTAATGTTTTTCGTAAAATTATCTTGATTATCACAATACAGATTTCTTTTCATTTTACCAAAGATAAAATAAAAAAATACAATCTGTGACGTAGAGGCCTAATGCATTCTTTGATTTGCCACATCCTCTGCTGTGAACTGCAGTTTCGTCTATTCAAGTATCAATAGTTTGGGTCAGCAAGCCAAAAAGGTGCAGTTAGGCGTCTTATAATGACAATGTGTATATAATATTTTTGTTTTTTTTTAATCCATTTGAACTCACCATATAGTAACCTAGATTAATTTAGGTGTGTGAATAATATTATGACATTGTGCCTAACTCATTATTCGGTATATACAGTGAGTACACTGTTTAATGACTTTACTACAAAATTCTTTTAATTTAACCAAACAACTTAGTCATTTATTGCCGTAATAAAAGCCAGGAGGAAATGTTTCCGCCAGAGGTTCTACAATAATAACAATCAGTAGTTGAACATTAGGAGTTCTCCTTCCAACTTGGGAAGGATTAAATCCAACAAACCTTGAGAATGGTCGAGTCTTATGAATATTTGGTTGAATTGTCAGAAAAAAGGAGCACAACACTCTCATCAATAAATTACACATTAATGTTATTTTATGTATACCTTCAGTGTACATTTTATAATCACCGCTACCCTACGCCGATGAACGTTTTGATCAGAACATTATATACAATGAAAAAAGAAAACAGTGTAATGTTAACATATTTTATTTCGTGATAAGTAATTCTTCAACATTCAAATGTAAATTTCTTTCACTAGTGTCATATCCATTATTATTTAAAACAACAGCTCAACGAGTTGTTTGTTTTCATATCTTTTATATTGTTCATAACATATAATCCATAAACCTTACGTATCAAATGTCCCAGACAAAATACATCTTATTCACCAGACAAGAAATAAATAGGAAATCCCCAAAGCATTTAAGATTAGATAAGGATGCAAATAATAGGAATAAGCCGAAGCATCATGGTCGTTAGTTTGCCTTATCAGTTTTTAACATTAAAATAACATATTATGTATTAAATCCAAAGTCCTTACACATACGAAGCAAGTTCAAGCAGCATATCCCCTAATGAGATCAGTAAGTATAAAACGCATGTATGTTTATTTACATCTTCATATATTACGTGTCATTACTTATCATCACAAGCAAGAGATGACTAAATTGTTTCTTGATCTTATCCTTTCCGTAGACAAAACACTTATTCAATTTGTCAACCTATTTAAGACCTTTATTTTCAATTCTTTTTATGACAAGGAGGTCCCCAGTATGCCGAGTTACAGCCATAAATCCTGTTATCAAAAACAAGTTTGACCGGACACTCAAAAATGTGAAGAGTAAATTTGTTGATAGTTTTGTCCCAATAGCATTCATAGAATTGACTACAATCTTCAGGATGCCGAAAGAGACCTGCTCTAGAACAAGCTACATCAGGAATAGTTTCTTTGTCCTTCTCATCATCTCTTATAGTTGTCTTTCTAAATTCATTAACTATTCCCTGTTCAACATTTTCCTCACTAATACCTGGTTTCCGGAAATCTATATCTTGCGATATTCTTGGGCTACGCACTTCTTCGGATACCTGATTCTTGTTTTGATATTTAACCACAGAAGCCGGAGGCCGACTTGGTTCAACTGGTCCAAGATGCGTAGAATGATATGGAATATTTTGCTGGTAAGTTTTTTCTCTGTAATCAGTTACTCCTTCAGTTACTTTTTCACCATAATCTCCATCAGGTTCCTTAGAAAGTGAAATACCCTGACCTGTTGTTTTATCACCGTAAGCGTTCTCAAACACTGCATGATCTGAGTAATCTACAGGAGTGTTGTCATAATTAGGTTGGGTTTTATGTCGTTCTTCATTTCTAAGAACAGGTGTTGATGCTGTAGGAGATGCTTCTGCCAGCGATTCTACATCAATAACAATCAATGGTTGCACATTAGACGTTCTTCTTCCAAGTTGAGAGTCATTATTTTTAACAAACCTTGAGACTGGTCGAGTTTTAGGGGTATGTAAGTTTATTCTATCAAGGCTATCTTGAGCTGGAATAGTTGTATAGCTAACCACGTCTTTTGAAGCAGGAAGCGTAAGAGGCCTAGATGGAACAGTTGATAGTATGGTGTAAGTAGGAGCATTAGTGTTGGTTTTTGCGCCATTCTGTTCATTATTTACTAATTGTGGCTTTTGTAACTTTCGTGGTGTTTGATTATATTTAGGTAGCTGTGTGTATCTGTTATTTATAACTATTCTATTCACCGCTGTAGGAGGTGGGACAACTGAAACAGGTAGAAATGAGTATATTGGTCCTACAGGTTTTAATCGTTGCCCAAACACTGGGGCATTTGGAATGTTTGTTGTTTCTGGAGGAGGTCCATAAACATCTGCTTCTTCTTGTGGTTCGTACTTACGCGTGTATGTTCCAAAGGTAATCTTAGATGGTGGAAATAAAGGAGGAGACACAGTTGATACAATATTTTTTTGCAAAAGTGCTACATTATTTACCACTGTAGGCGTAGATCTGGTTTTTGGACCTACAAAGGGCCCATCAACATATCGATCTGAAGATGAATGTGTTTGAACATTATCTTTTTCTTGTGTTGGTTGATTGGTATGAAATGGAGACTGGAAGATATTTTCTTCTGTAAAATAGTTAACAGGAGTATTTGATGGTTTGGAACGTGATCCAATGGAGAAATGATTTTCAAATTTTGTAGGAGGTGCAGTTTTTCTTGTATTTTCTCCTTGCACTTCTAATTCATAGAATAAAGGCTGCTTATTATCATGTGGCTTAGCAATAGGAGGAGACGTTGATATAACCCTGGACTGATTTTCGATATTATTAGGAGGAACAGGCTTCGTTGTCTTTTTAAGAGGACCTTTAACTTCATAAATTAATGGTTGCTCTACAAAATGCTCTTCAACTAATGGCAACGTAGGCGGTGAAGAAATCTTGGGCTGTTTTGGCAAGGTTTGAACAGAAAAATATCCCTGGACATTTCTGGGAGGAATTAATTTATCTTGTTCAATAGGGATGGATTGTTTATAAATCACAAGTTGTTCTTGGGGATTAGGTGAAGTTGGTGGAAATGAAACATTGGTTTGTTTGATCGTAGGATGAACAGAAAAATACCCTTGAATTTTCCTAGAAGTAGCAGGTCCCCTAGGTTTTTCAACAGGTACACCTGTTTTTGGTCCACCACGAATTGGTGGACCCAAAGCTGGAGTAAAGTAATCAGTGTTGTGACAACAGTCTGGTCCAATATTTGTCCCTGATTTACATGCACAACCTAAATTATGTTTGTAATGATTTGGTGTTCTAGAAAAATGAGGAGTTACAGTAACCAGAGTCGGTTTGTCATTAGTTAACGATGTTTTGGGGTGTTTAGTTGGAAAATAAGTAATACTAATAGGGGGAGGCAGTGGAGAATATAAAGGTTTTTTGTTGAAAAGTTCACGTGAGCTAGGATATGGTCTACTTGGTGGACTTGCATCATCACTGATAAAAAGTGGTGGTTTAGGCGTGGGTTGATTAAAAGGGTGTTTTTCTTTTATTCCATCCTGGAAGGAATAAGACACCTGCTTAGGTGAAGCAGTGTTACGTGGACGTGGTGACACAGGACGAACTTCGTATAACTTGGGTTTATCTGATGGACTGCTTAAGTCAGTAAAATGCTTTGGTTCACTTGGTTCTTTTACAGTATATCTTTGAGGTATATCATGGTTCAAGTCTGTTTGTGCTCTTGAAGTATGGACCTTATTAGGTATTATTTGTTTGAAATGACCTATAGATTTTGGTTCAACTGGTCTCCTACCATTGAAATATTGTTTATCACCATGGATCACATCTCCTGCTAAACCACTTGTAAGTATTTCATCGCCACGTCCTACCTCTTTAACGAAACCATGAGTAGGCCCATCACCATAACTTGAATTTTCAAAAAAGCCAAATGACCCTTTGGGGCTATGTTTTCCATCATATATCACACCACGTACGAGATCCAATGGGCTTTCAGGCTCATGTTTACCATCATAATCTACAACCCTAGAAAGACTTATCAAAGTTCCATTGCTACCTTTCTCACTTTTTCTTGCAATTCCGTGAGAAACACGTCTGTTGCCATTTTTGTTAACTTCAGGATAATCTGATTGACCTACTGAGCCACGTACCCCAGAAAATTCTGTACTATCGATAGGACCATGTGTGTCTTTAGAATCATGTCTTCTTCTATATGCAAAATCTCTAGAAATTCCTGGCTTATCTTCAGAACCATTTTTAGTGTCATATCCATTAAATTCACTTAAACCTGGTAAATTTTTAAAATCACCTGCAACATCGCTGGTAGGACCCAAAATCCCATCAAATCTATGTTCTTTATTATATCTTATACCACTTTGAGGACTTGAAGAACCTCTATGACCACGTCTACCATCATATCCGATAATTTTAGTATTATCTAATTGCCTTGAACTGTCAGGTCTTTTACTAATCCTGTCAACGTGGAGAGAATCTATTTTGCTTGTAGGGCCATACTTATTGTGAAATTCTATGTCACCAACAAGATCTGGTGTCTTTTTAGATCCTGCAGGCCGTTGTTTAATATCAAAATTTTCACGATTATCAAAAACTAAGGGACCTCTAGAACCATATGGCCCGTCATATTTTACATCACTAACAGGACCTAGTAGACTTAGTCTTCTACCATCTTCTACTTTACTTTCAGGATCCAATAAACTCCCTGGAGTACTTTTAGCACCAAATACTAAACCACTGGAAGGACCTGGAAGATTTTTGGGATCATATTTATTAACGTCAGCAGAACCTACTGAACCTCCAGAAACAGGTCTACTACTGTATTCTATATTGCCTATGGTATGCACTAGACCTCTAGGGTCATCATGACCATTCCTATCATCGCGAATTACTATACCATCAGGATCTGGGAAACCTACATGCCCATGTCCCCTACTGTGTTCTGCACTACCAGTAGGACCTACTAGACCTTCATTGCCATATCCTATATCACTTAGAGGACCTTCAGAACTATCCCTATTACCATATCTTACAATATTTGAAGGATCTGAAACACCTCCGGGGCCATGTGTGCTGCTATATTTATTATTGTAAACAGGGCTTGATGAATCTAAAGAATCAGGCTTAATACCATAGCTTAAAACACCACCAGGACCTGAAGTACCTTCAGGGCCTTGCCCATCAACATATTCTGCACCAATAGCAGGAACTGATGGGTATTTAAGGTCATGTTGGCTATTGTATCGCACACCATAATTAAGACCTCGAGAAGTTCCAGGAGCATTTCTACCATCATGTTTTGCAACAACACCTGGGCGTCCAGGTCTTTGTTCTTCATCATATGCTGCACCACCACCAACAAGACGTGAAGAACTTACAATATCATGCCCAGTACGATATCCTACACTATCTTCAAAGCCCACTTGACTTTCACGATCACCTCTATCACTGTATCTTACAGCACTAACAGGGCTTCCATGACCTTGTCTCTTATCATATCTATTGAATCCAGATGGATCTGATGTACCTATAGAGCTATGTTTGTTGTCATGTGCTGTACCTCTAACAGAGTCTGAAGGAGGCCTAGACGTATGTCTTCCATCATATCTTAAGTTTCCAAGAGGAATTGTCTGTTCTCCATGATCACGTCCACCTATAAACTTTTGACTTTTTGTAATACTTGGCAGGTCCCCATTGCCATGTCCTACACTTAACTGAGCTCTTATGACAGAATTTGGTGGCACTTCAATATTACTTCCTATATCATCTCCTAAAAATCTGTTTGGACTTTCAGGGATAACTCTTATGCCACTTCCTATACTTCTAGATGGACTCTCAGAATCACGTCCACTAACATATCCCAGATTCTCATCTGGACCTAAAGGACCAGGTCCTGTTTCATATCCTACACTTCTGGCTTGACCACCAAGTTCAAGTCCTTCATCATATTCTACACTACGAGATGGACTGTTAGAACCTCGTCCATTATTATATCCTACATTTGCACCTAAATCAACCAATCCAGGCGTGCCTTTTGCAGAACTTTTAGGAAATTTTGCAAAGTTAGTATTTGGCCCTCTGGGTGTAGTTTCAGAAAACTCTCCAAAATGCTCATAACCAGATCTTTTTTTTGTTCGCAAGTTGCCTGAAGGATTTAATTGAGGTGTTATATGCCGATCAACACTTATAACTTTTGCGGTACTTTCAACATTTGGTGTAATTCCTCCATAAGGGCCACCACATCCTGGAACCAGCCAACGCCAATTACAGAGGAGTTTTTCTTCATCAAAAGCTAAGTCGAAGGGACACTTGAATTCAAATGCTTGAAGAGTGCCATTTCCTTCAGAGCAGTAATAGAACCACCTACAGTTTTCTGGATCTTGGAAGTAACCAATGTTAGAACAGACAAATGTTTTCCTCGGAACAGGCAAGACTTCACCAGATCCGTCACATGGCAGTGACCATGACGGCCAATTGCACACTTCGTATCTTTCATCGAACACGAGGCCATTAGGACAATCATACTGGAAAATAGTGTAATCATCAATATACTGGTCGAATTTTACACAGCGATAAAATTTAGTGCAATCGTCAGGATGTCGATAATAACCTTGTCTGGTGCAGATCATTCTCTCAAAAGTGTCGGAATTACTTTCTACTCGTCCGACGAATCCGTACCTATCCACAACATTTACAATTCTCGATTCAGCTCCTTCAAGATATGCTTCGAACTCGTCAATGGTTTTTGGATCCTTAGTCTTAACTGTGTCTGTAAACACTTTTCGCACACTTCGGATTAGAGGAAAGTCGCCATTACCGCAGACTCCTTCATAGTCATCATTATTAACAGGCCACATTATAACACCTCCAAGCTTTCGTAACAGCACATACTTGGTCTAGTAAAGAGAAATAATATATTTATGAGACATAATGAAGTATATTAAAATGTTTTTGTTTTTTCACATGTATTTGTAATATCATTTACCTCATTAATTAGACATATGGTAAATAACCAGTACAACATTATAAAAACAAGTTCTGCCACTACTTTTATCCTGCGTATTTTTAACTACCCATATCCAAGTAACCAGCACAACACTATAAGAACAAGTTGGTCACCAGTACCCTTGATCTTACGCATTTATAGTTTCACCGTAATAAATAAGAATTTAGTTTTAATAAACTGATAAAATATTGGTATAATTTCTCTATCTCTTCTACTGTAAAAATGAGCGCTTTGAAATATTTTGCAGGTGAAATGTATTACTTTAAAAACACATATGCATACTACTTGTGGGTAGTCTACTCGGTAGTAATCTATATCATAACTTAACAGTGATGGATAATAAAGGAAAAGAAAGATTCCTTTACTTAGGTGGAATCTCAGTTAACACTGATCCAATTTTAAATTTATGCGTTGTTAATTGGAGGTTATAGTATTGGAGGACTTAAACCTGTTCACATAAAAAAATCTGTAGCTAGTAGTTGAATATTAGAAAAACGATGCAGAAATTTCCAGCCAGTACATTTACCCAACATACTGTAAAGTTTCATGTTGTTTTGTTTCACAGTTGATAAAGAATAAATGACTTGCAGGATTTATTTAAAATGTAACACATGTATGTCATTGCTGTATCCTTGTGAAATTCCGGCCTTAAAATGTCTGATACGTTCGTAGTAATGACACAAAAACGATAATAAGATTATACACAGGTCAATAGAAAGAGGACAGAGTATTTTTTAGATAAATTTAAAATGATCTTTAAATTGAGAGTATATATTATTATTACTTTGACTGGAAATGGCAAAAACATTCGAATCACCCAAGGATAGTACAAAACACTGCCATTTCATATTTCCTTCCGTTAACAGACTGGATTATTTGATTTGATTTTTTTTATAAACAGTATTGAAATAAAATATTTGTTCCTAAATTAGATACGTACGTTAGAGATAACTAAAGTAAACTCTAAAATAAACGTATACATAATGCCTTTTCTAAAAGACTCGTATTTGAGCCTGATTGAAGGATGTCTGCTTGTTTTTGTTTGTTTCGGATATTTGTGCTAGATGCACAAAGGTTATCTACGCTAGCCGTCCCTGATTTTGAACTGACACACTAGAGGAAAGGCAGCAAGTCAACATCTCTCACCGCCAAATCTTGGGCTACTCTTGCTTAACCGTTACTTTAAATAGCACATCTACGGTCCCAAAGTGCGGAGCGCGTTTTTGCAGCAACAAGCCCCTAACCATTAACCCTCGGATTTACAGACTGAACACGCTAACTAATAGGTCACGCCCTGTCCATGACTTGAAGAAGTTACAAGGTTTACTGAAAGCCAGTACTTCTTTGTATATAAATATTTCAGTTAGCACATCGACTAAAGCATAAGGAGACATTAAATTATCATCTTAAATCTTATGTTAGTGACAAACTTTAAAACTCAAAATGCAAAGACCTTATAACCTATTATAAAAAAAAAAATCTCCCATGCCCCCTGTATTTATTGTTATTTTTTAACAACCAGGGCTAACAAATGAAAGCATTCCATCAAGGAGTGAGATATCATTGAAAATTCCGTTCCAAGAGAAATAAATAAAATCCTTTCATAATTTTCTAAATGTCTTTATATTTCCGAAAAATGATATCTGAAGTTCAATACTGTTTGAATATTAATAATGAAACGACAGAAACTACGCTGCAGCTATACTGATATTTTGATAAACACTACCTACATATTTTCATTAGTTTAAAGTGGAAGACAGATAACCTATATCACCAATTTTAGGTAATATCTGAAATGAGAAAATTAGGCGAGCACACTTAGAACGTACGTAAAAAGTTGCAGAAAATATTAAGTTTGAGTTACATGTTGAAACTCGGAATACTGTAAGACTACTTATATTTTAATACCAGTGTAATAACTGTTAATCCTGCGGTGCCAGGTGTGGCTTAGTAGTTAGCGTGACCGGATTGTGAATACAAGTGTACCTTATTATCATCCCATAACCGCAATATCGCTTCCGCACTTTGGGGTCGTGAGTGTGCTATAAGGGTGGCTGTCAAATCCCACTATTTAGTTAGACAAGAGTAGTACAAGAGTTGACGGTGCGTGATCTTGACTAGCTATCTCCCCTTTAGTGTATCACTTCAGAATTAGATATCACTGTGCACGTACAGCTTTGTGTAGCTTTCCACGAAAATCTGAAACAAATTAATCCTACAATCATGATTTTAGAAAGTAGTTTGTTTGTGGAAGAAGAATCAACAACATATGTATGATTATGGAAATTTTATTTACACTCCTAAATAAATCGAATATAATAGTAAACTATTGAGTGGCTTATTTAAATATAGCCCAAACTGTGTTCCAATACATTATTTTGAGGGCCCGGCATGGCCAGGTGGTTAGGGCGCTTGACTTGCAGTCTGAGGGTCTCCCTTTCAGCCGTGTGGGGCGTTATTATATGAAGGTCAATCCCACTATTCGTTGATAAAATAGTAGCCCAATAGTTGGTGGTAGGTAGTGGTGACTAGCTGCCTTCCCTTTAGTCTTTCACTGCTAAATTAGGGACGGCTATCGCAGATAGTTCTGATGTAGCTTTGCGCAAAATTCAAACCAAACCAAACATTATTTTGATACTATATAAACGTAGCTCTATTTTAAAAGAGTTTATATGTAAAAATAGGATTATGTCTGTGTGTATATGATTGCTAAGTGGAACTTTATTGTGAACACGGACTAATAGTGCGAACATACATAAGTGAAGCTAGTAAAGTTATACAAATTAATATTACCCCATGAATTGGACTTGGTACGAAAATGGTATGTTAATTATAAATGTGGACAATGGAAAAATTTAACAAACTGTGAGTAATGCAACAACAATGTAACAAGGGTTATTACCTAGGATTCAGTAACAGTGCAAACAAAATAACAATTCCAGGAGAAAGAGGAAGAGGTCTACGCTAAACCTGACCTTCCCTGGTTCAAAACATGGACCGAATTCCGATGAAGAAGAAGGCAATATAAAGCTCTTTTACTATTGTTTTTATGCTTACGTCGCTTTCTTACCTTAAGTCTGACACTGATTTCGTCATCGTAACCCACCCAATCTTCTTCATTGTAAGTGTAGGGGGAAGTTTGGTCAGTCTCTCTCAGCACTGACCAATTTCCTGAATTCTTGAAATCGCATACCTGACAAGAATTTTGGTTTTAATAATATTCATTAAAATACATAACTTAAAATTGTACTAGATTTCAATTCCAACTCGGTTGACTTTATTTTGATATTGGTTTCTTTAAATCATAAAACATCAGGTTGCTTTCGTTTACAAATTTTCTAGAAAATATAAGATTACGTTTGTTATCTTAAATTACTGTGCTTGAAAGGCAATGTAGCATCTATAATGTATTCAGAAATTTAATCCTTAATCAAATTAAATATTAATCTTCATTTATCATAAAATTATCTACTAATGTTTAAAGATTGTTCCAAGTCCATCTTTATAGAATGTTTTTGTTACTGCGTCGTAATGCTCAGTTCGTAAAATATTATCATACCTCTCCATGAGATAAAATTTTTCTTTTTCCTTTAAAGACCTTTCCTTCGATACCTTTCCTTAAAGAGTCTTCAACGGAGAGCCTATAGTCTGATGTTTTATAAGCCACTCCAAAGGTAGGGATACCAACTACAATCTTATCCTTTGGAACACTAAAAGACAACAGAAGATCCACGAGAGAGTCCTGAAGAATGAAATGTAATAGGTGATTAAAATATTATTAATGTTAAATGTGTTTTTCAACATAATTTTTTAAATTTGTTTTTAGAGTAGTTATAGATATTTCTGAATCGTCAAACATGTGAAAATTGTTTTAGATTTTTTAACATAAACATAAAACTTTCCCACAATAAAAGGGTAAATAATAATATAAGATACATTATTATGTGGAAAAACTGTGGCAGAAAGGAGTAGGTAATAATATGAGATACATTCTTAAGTGGAAAAAACTGTGGCATTGCTGAAAATTAAGCCGAAATGTAAAACAAGTTAATATAGACAGGTAATTTTTTTTTACAGTTTATGGGATTTCATACTTGAACGTGTGTATTGTTGTTGTTTCTTATTAAGCAAAAAGCTACACTAAGGGCTATCTGTGCTTTGCCCACCACGGGTATCGAAACCGGGATTCTAGCAGTATAAGACCGCAGACATATCGCTGTGCCATTCGGAGGCGAACGTGTGTATGAAACACAGAAAATAATAACATTGCTTCATAAGAATGTGTCACCGGGATGCTTTAAAACGGATCGTTTGAAACGATTAGAACCAAAATGAATATTACATACTTAAAAAAAAAAGCTTTGCAAGTTCTTTCAGTAGTAGTTCCACTGTAACCGATTAATTAGATTGTATTCTCTTTGTCCTGATGACCTTTCGTACACTACCAACTAAATCATTATGGTGTTTTTTCATACGTTAGAATTGTCAAGGGTATTCCAACATTACAATGCTTTGTAATATTATACCCCTAGATATATTACGTCGTTAAGAAATTAATGCCGTTTTTTTTTTAAATAAAAACAAAACTTGAATAACTTATATATCAAAATCTGGAGAATATGGTGGGTGGGGGAGAACTTCCCAATCCAATTTCATAATCTTGTGTTGCGTCATATGTACCACATGTGGACGTACATTGTCGTGGAGAAGAACAACTTCCGATTGACGAATGAAGGGCGTTTCTGATGAAAGGCTTGATTTAAACGTTTCAGTTGCTGACTATAGATGTCTGCATTGACAGTTCGCTGTGGATTGAGGAGTTCGAAATGAATTATCCCTTTGATGTCCCACCAAATGCAAAGCATCACTTTCTGCGGATGGAATACAGGTTTTTGGTGTCGGAAGTGGTTTTTGTCTAGGACTGAGCCAATATTCGCATAGAGAATCAATGTTTCATAACCGGTGACAATTCTGTCCAAAGATGGATCACGCGCATTACGCGCCAGAAAAGACATACCAACGCTCACACATTGGAAACGATGATCATCGGAGAGTTCGTGAGGCACCCAAACACTCTCTGTATGGAATTTGCCATATTCCTCAGATGTTTACGTATTGAGAGACATGCAATTTCAGGGCCATTTCACGAGTGTGTTGCCTTGGGATAGACTCAACAAGCGGCTTCAGAACATCAATATCAATTCCAACATGTCGGCCCTTGCCATCACAGTTTCTAGGCTAAAGTCACCTAAACGAAATTTGCTGAACCATCGTTGACATTTACGAACGTTCAAAACATTTCCATAAACTCCTTTGATTTTCTTTGTGGCTACAGAGG